GTTTAAGAAACAGCAATCAAAAGGTGGAGGAAGGTGAGACTCACCTCCAAGGGTATGTGTGAAGAAATGGCTAGACCAATGAGAAAGCCAGAAAGAGCTGAAGAACGTCAGAAAGGACCAGACAGAGGGGTTCTCACACACTTGGTCAATTGATTGCATTATTTCAGGGTCATCTGAGCCACTCCCCACCTCCAGGTAATGATTTTCCTAAGCCTGGAAAAAGGAAGCATCCTCCCAGCACTGCCAAGACTCAGATGCCATCTCCCTGCTGGGGACTGTCAGCACACATGGCCTCCTCATCTCATGGTGCCACAGGTAAGGGTAGAGGGGCAGGGCTATCCTATTGCCTTAAAACACATCTTGACCCAGTGTACACACACACGCAGATACACATTAAAACAAGTTTTACATGATATTACCCTATGGGTGATTCCCTTTAATAGTTTGCATTGTGTTATTTCATTTTTTAAAATGCTGGTCCAGATCCACTAACTTGATTTTCTGACCTACTAATGGATTAAAACCCACAGTTGGAAAAGTATCATTCTAGGCCAGGGCAGAGAAGGAAGAAAGAAAAGAAAGAGAATCAGAAGAGGGGCTGATTGAGAAAGCTTTGGGCTGTTTCTGTCATGAGTGGCTAGCTAGTCAGTGGGAAAAGTGTTTCAGAAGACCCAAGTGATTGTTTCTTGACTATTCTAATAGTCAGAACCCTGAAAGTTCTTCTGTCCAGCTCTGGTCTTACATGTCCTCATTGAGACATGCATCTATTGTGATTGGTCATTGGACAGGCCAAAGCAGAGAAGTCTGCTGAGAAACCTACATCAAGACTGCCTGCATGCATGTGCACTATAGGAAGTGTGAAAATATGCCACCACATATGGGAAAGGAAGAACAGAGAAAGAAGGTGAGGACCAGTGGAGAAATGTGGTGGGAGGTCACACAGAAGCTTGCCATGATGTCCCTTCAAGAACATATGCTCTATAATAACCACATCCCACTCTGTGTGTGTCCTCAGCACTGTCCTTTCCATTGGACCCTGGGCTACTTGGCAACAGAAACAAAATCATTTGCACTTCTATAAACCCCACAGCTCCTAGCAGAGGAATTCTTAGAATTAGAGAAAACCTTAAAGAACATCCCTTGGTGAAAGCGTTTCATTTCCCAGGGGAGGAAATGGAATCAGTCAGCCAGCCAGCCAAACTGACACTGTTCGCCTCAGTCAGGCCCTGGGCACAGTCAGGATTTGTTTGTGATGGGTCACAAGCCTCAGTTTTTCACATAACAGTGAAGGGAACAATATCTAGGGTAGTGGGTGAGTTAGTCTAACGTGTGCTGGCACACCACAGATCAGCACTGGCCACTTCAGGCAGGCTGCTGTCACTGCCTTCTGGGGAAGATTCGGCTGCCAGTGTCTTCCACTGGACAAAATGCAAATCATCATAGACATGTTAAGAAATGACCTTATAAATAAAAACAGATGCAAATATGCATAGCCCATGGACACAGACAATAGTGTGGTAAAGGCCTGGGGTGAGGTGGGAACTGGATGGAGAGGGGGAATGGGGGACATCTGTAATACTCTCAAAAATAAAGATAAATAAATTAAAAAATAAGTAAAAAATGGAAAGACATGCATACATAAACCAACAAAAAACTAATTTTCACACAGGCCTTAACCAATTTTCATCTTGACTATATCAACATTTTAAGTTGGTGTTCATTTTTGAAAAATAAATGGAATGATTTTTTCTCCCACTGATTTTACCCAGTATTTTGGGAAGACATAACTCTCAGAGGCTCAAGGCTACTCCTAGTCTATGTAGCAAAATAAATGCAAAAGTGATACATAAGATGGATAATATAAATGGGGAAGGTGGGCCAGAAAATTCATGGTGATAAGAACTCGAGAACATTCTCTCTTTCTTCCACAGACCATCTTCGAAATTCAGTTTGTAAATACAAATGTTTTAGGGAACTTAGTTTTAGTGCTTAATGCTTAGATTGGGTTGTTGTTTTGCTTTATAAAAGTTAAATGAATTTATTAATAGCTGAACTTAGTAGGGAGTTTATACTAGTCAGAAAACACTTGTTTGGTAATTAGAGGTTGACAACAAAATCTAAGATCAATTATTTTGCTCTAAATGTCTCTTTTCCCTTCTTGCCCACTAGATGGTGGAATGGAGCCACTCTAGATCCTGCTAGTTCAGAGGCAGCTCTTCCTACACAGATTTTAAATGGTCAAACTATATTTTTGTTTTGGTTCCTTCCATATTCTTCTCTCATCTAATGGTAAAGAAAACTGAACATTGCATATGCAAATTTTAGGGCAATTTCTAGTATATTAATAGGGTCATCTTGACTGGGGAGCTGGAGCTGCCTTAAAGAAGCCTCTTGTTTACTGCCTGAGGGTCTGAACCTGGAGCTTTCCCTTCCTTCATAGGAACACTGGACAGTACCACTGTGCCAACACGAATGGAAACATGTGAGCCAGACACTTGCTGGGAGACCTGCCCTGCCCTGCCCAAGCATCTCCTACTAGCAGCCTTGTTCTACAGAGGGCAGTCCAACACTGGGTTTCTTAACCATGCTGGAGACCTCTCATCAGCACGTTCCTTATCACTTTGGACAATAACACTGTATCCTAAAAACAGAGTGGGTTAATGGGCTTTGACCTGACATGGTATATCCCACTTCTCTGAGTCTTTTGATTTTTTTCATCCAGTATTAGCCACCATAGTTCTGGCATTTCCACTTTGCTTAATGTGGGTCATGGCTTTTTCCAAGCTTCCAAGGACCAACTAAATACTATCCCCTGGGGCCTTTGCCAAGATATTAAATCTGTCATAGGTCTATTTTCCCCTTTTCCAGTTTTATATTCTGCCCCCCTTATCCAGCACAGTCCCATATATGCTGCCCTGCTTTGCCAGTTCCTGTTGCCCAGTCCTGCAGTTGCTTCAGCATGTAGTCCTTTTCTACGTTTAGCCAGCCCAGCATTTCTCCAGCTGGGCTGCACTGTGACTTAATCCTGGCTATCACTCTGGTGGTTGGGAGCGGAGAGTGGGGGATAAGGAGAGATATGTATTGTCTTAGAAGGCAAAAACCTCTACATCATCAGCCTTTAACAGAAAAGAATGGGTTACTTCTGTAAGTCAACAGGGTTCAGGGAAATATGGAAATTTCAAATTTCAAATGCATTGACCCAGATGACCCATTTTAAGTCTCAGCATTCCCCCAACCCCCACCCCACCAATCAGGACCTTGACCTTGGTGTAGCAGACTTGGTGGGGTTGAGAATTTAACCTTTTCTGGAACTCTGCTAATCCTATAATTTAGTTTTTGGCCCACAGATTTTGTTTGCACTCTGGCTACAGGGTATGTGAATCATTTCATATGCTGCCCAAAAGACCCTCTGGCTTCCACACTTGGTCTGATAATGAATCACCCTCAAAGGCAATTAATCACTCTCAGTCTTTCATTATCTTTCTTTAACAATGTTTTTCTTTCATTTTGAATTGATCCCTCCCCCCCACAAATGGCCATTCCAGTCCAAAATTCTCACAATTACTATTTCCTAAAAGTCCTGAGATATTGCACCTCTTGGTGCACTCCCTTCCACAGGCATCCCATTCTAGTTTGCCACTGGTTAAAGTTTAACAATTGCATAGCATTCCAGGGGTTATCAGTGCTCCACTACCACCAGTGATGGGGTTCTCATTACCAGCAGGCTGGCAGGTGACCCAACTTCAAACTTTGATTTTTGAGTCTTTTTCCAGAACCATTTCTTGTACCAACCCTCATTGGTTGAATTTCTTAGGAAACAGATTCTAAGATTTTCATGCAGGGTTTTTATTGGGTGGTACTTTAGGAACCAACACCTGAGAGGTTAGGGAGGCAGGATTGGACAGTTGTTACACTGTGATGCAAATGCAACAGAAATCTAGAGCCCACAGCACTTGTACCCTGGTGGAGTTAACCATTATTATTAATCAATTAGTTAACTTTTATTGAGTATCTGCACCATCAGATTTCTGGGCAGGGCTCTGGGATTAGAAAATGACGATAGCTGGACGGCAAGGTCCTCCCTCTCACCAATGGGCAGACACTAATAGAGGTATAAGCCATATGCACGCGGAAGGGGAAAGAGTCCTGGCCGGTGTGGCTCAGTTAGTTGGACGTTGCCAAAAGGTCGCCTGCTGCAGCCCCTGTCAGGACACACACCCAGGTTGTGGGCTCCATCTGGCCCGGGGCATGCAGGAGGCAGCCGATGGATGTTTCACTCCCTCCCCTCTTTCTCTCTTTCTCTCTAAATCAATAAAAACATACTAAACGAAAAGCGGGAGGAAGGAAAGACATTTTCTTCAACCTTTTCTGCCCTTAAAGCACGCTCAGTTTACTCCGTGACTACCAGGCCAAAGGTAGGCCAAAGAGGGGACTAGGGATCCTCAGGGTGCCCTCTTCTGGCGAAAGACCGACGCCACCCTCCCTAAGCACCGTCCTTGGGGCGAAGCAGGTTGAAAGCCGAACTGTGTCGCCTCGGAAATGCCAGCGAGACGCCCCATTGGCTTGAAGCTCACATTGCATTACAGGATATGCAAGTTGGAACCCAAAGAGGGGCGGACCTCTTGAGACCTACGGTGAACGGCGGGATTCTCGAGGCCCGCACACCCTCCCCACCGCCGTCGCCGGCGAGCGTGAGGACCCCGCCCCGCCCACGTTCGCTGAGCAGGCCGGGTCCGCGGGGCCCGGTCTCCCCCACACGGTCGGGTCAAACGCCCTTGCCCCGCAGCCTCCAGTGGGAGGAATGCACGGGGACAGGGTGGCATCATAGTTACACTTCCTCAGTCATTCTCGTTCCAATGCACGCATCCCTAAAGGCCTGTGCGTCTTCTCGTCTCTTAAGCAAAACGGAACGCGTGAAAGCGGCTCCCTTAACCCGGGCCGGAAGCGGGGGGTCGGAAGTGACGCATGCACCTGCGTATTCCCGCCCTGCCCTTCGTCCGCCGCTCTGTGGCGGGNGAACCGAGGCGACTGTGCTGACAGCGGCAACTCAGTCACCCTGTCGGGCTGCTCGGGGCTCCCAGAGCCTCATAGTTTCAGATTGGGGAACGGAGCTAAGGCTTCGATACCGCTTCGCCCTTTCATCGTCCCGGAAGCCCCAGGAACGAGCCGGCCGCGTCCTCGCTCCCGAGACGAGCGTCCGAAAGGCCCAGGCATCGCCCGAGAACGCGCGCGGTGAGCCGGGGTATCAGGTGACCGACCAGCCCGAGAGGTTGCGGAGGTTGCCTTCGCCTTCCTCTTCCTCCACTACTGCGCCCGCGATTCCCCGGTCAGGTCTTCCGCCCACGTCGTGGCGCGTGCGGGTTGGACCGCGCTCCCGCCCCGCTACGCCCTGCCCCCTCGCGACCTGGGGGCACAATGCGGCATCTCCCGGAGCCCTGCTCGGAGCTGGATTACTGTTTAGCAGCCTGTGGCGGAGACGGAGGAATCCAACGCGTTAAAAACCTTGGCTGTTTACAGATATTAACAGTTTATTTTGTTTATTGAGTATATACCCATACGTCAAGCACAGAACTTTGTGTTTGTACAATTATTTTATTTAGCTCAGTTACATTATGAAATAGGCCTTAGCTCCTTTTACAGAAGGGCAGCCTGTGTGTCATAAGTGATAATTACGTCATCAAATATTATGGAGCATCGGTCTTAGACCAGTCAGTGCACTAGGCCTTGGGGATATAGCAGTGAAAAATAAAGAATTGCCACCACAGCTGGGGATTTTCGGACAAGCTAATGATGCCTTTTTATGCCTAAAAATAGCCTCCTGTTTACCTGCATGTTAATAGTGGTTATCTTCTGGGTGAGATTTTGTATGAATTTGTAAAAGCCAGGCTTTTCCGCAGTGTTTTGATTTCTTCAAATGAGCAAAAATGGCTGTTTCCATTTTAACAGCGGATGCCCAGATGGTAGGACTCTCCAGTAAAACAGGCTCTTGAGTGGAGCTCTAGGCCCCCCCCCCCCAAAAAAAAGTGAAGGTTTTCATTTGTGGTCCTAGCTCTCCTAATTGCCGAGTCTGTTCCAGAGTCAGCTAGAGCTAGGCCCATGACTAAAATGGAAGAGACGGTAGAGGCCCGTGTAGAGTTTGGCCATTAATGACATCATATTTATCGAAATGTTTGGAACTGTTAAAAAAATTTTTCTGACATAAGATTTATCTTTATTCTGTAACTCCTTCATTGTAAATGCATTTTGATTTCCTTAAGCACTTTGGCCTTTTTTATGTCCCTGCAGTCTTTGGTACAATGCATTTAGAGGGTGCTAGCTCATGGGGTGATGTCCTTTATTAAGTAACTATTTGAATATCTTTGCACAAATTTAAGTGTGCTTTCAGGCTGTACTTCCTCATAATGGCTTCAAAAGAGCTTTATTTTTCTGTCTTGCACTTGGTCAGGGTGAAGTAACCATGCAGGCATTTCTAAAAGGCACATCTATCAGTACTAAACCACCAGTGACCAAGGATCGAGGAGTAGCTGCCATTGCTGGAAGTAGTGGAGAAAACAAGAAAGCCAAACCTGTTCCATGGGTGGAAAAATAGTAAGAACTCTTGTGTTTTTGTTGAAATAGCTAATAAATTACATTTCTAATCAGTGTTGATCTTTTTTTTTTTTTTTAACCTAAGGGGGGATGATTTGCTTGGCTTAGATGTTGTCCTTAAAAATCACTCAATTATGTTGATAGAACCTTGGAACTGAAAGTTACCTTAGAATGATCTAGTTTAATTCCCTTATTTTACGGATGAACTAAGTCTTCTCTATAACTCAGGTACAGTTTTAGGGGTTGGGATTATAGCATTGAAGAAAACAGAATTTTTTTAATAAGCTGGCATTTGATCAGGAGTTCTACTTAAGTCCAAATAATCTGTTCCTCTTTCATTACTGATAGGTGGAAATTGTTGAGTTTTTGTTTTTTATACGTTTTGGCAAAAACAATACTTTGAAGTGGCACTTAAATTTCAATCAGCTAAGTGGTATTATGACAAATAGTAGTTGTAACCTGAGGGTTTACAGATTACTTATAGGCCAAATAAGACCCTCATGTTTTGTTTGGCACTGACAATTCTTTTAAAAATGGCAAATTTCACATAAAAATCTAGATTTTTTTAAATTAAAAAATATACAAGGGGAGAAAAAATATCTAGGTTTTCAGCCTCTCTGGAGATTAGGCAACACTAGGTGCAAATTCTCACCTGACAACAGTTGGATGGACTTGGATACTGCTCCTCATTTTGGAAAGATCGTATGTTCCTCAGTACACCATAGTCCCTATTTTCTCTTGCCTTATACTCTGCTTTCTTCACTCTTGTTGTCTACTTGGCCTCTGCGAATATTTGAATATAAAACTAGTTTATAACATACACTGGTTTTCCTAGAAAACATTATCTAACATGAAATTCATGTCTGGCACTGACCCGATTCATTAGAAAAATATGACTGAGAAGGAGTTTTGATTAGTAAACTAAGCACAAAGCCTAATCTTAGGGTTGGGAATATAACTGTTCTAGCTTCTCTTAAAATCAGTAGTTAATGATTTAAAGTGAAAATTATATGTTATACTTCATATTGGTTAAACTTATTTTGAGCCCTCAATGAAGTGAATAGATATTCATTTTTTTATGCAGTTGAGTAATGGAAGAAATTTGTATTAACCAATTAACAATGTAATAACTATGTTTATGTAACTGTATTAACCAAAATAGTTGCCTATCCTTAGGTTACTAAATAATTCTCCCTTTTCAGCTTAGGTGCATGATCTTGTGAAAATATAATATTCCTGCCTGGTGGGTGGCTTAGTTAATTGGAGCATCTTCCCTTGCACCAAAAGGTTGTGGGTTCAATTCCCATTCACGGCACATACTTAGGTTGTGGGTTCCAACCCCAGTCAGGGTGCCTATAGGAGGCAACCAATGTTTCTCTCTCACATTGATGTTTCTCTTTTTTTTCTCTTCCTCTCTCTCCCTCCTCTCCTGTCTGTCTAAAAAAGTCAATAAAAAAACATATCCTTGGGTGAAGGTTAGTATATATATATAAATAATATCACTTTATTCTTTTTTATTTTTTTAATCCTCACCTGAGGATATTTTTTCCATTGCTTTTCAGAGAGAGTGGAAGGAGGGGAAAGAGAGAGAGAGAAAGAGAAAGAGAAACATTAATGTGAGAGAGACACATCGATTCATTGCCTCCCTGGGGATCGAGCGTGTCACCGGGGTACATGCCCTTGGCTGGAGTTGAACCCGGGGCCCTTCAGCCCATGGGCTGACACTCTAACCACTGAGCCAGACCAGCCAGGGTGTAAGTGTTCACTTTAAATTTTTAACTAGTTGGCATTTGTAGTGTAATAAAATCCTTTTGCTTAATTTATGTAAGCATAACAGATGCAAACTATGTGTCTAGAAAGTGAAAAATTACTTCACTCCTTTAGTATGTATTTGTTTAAGGTAAATACAAATGGGGTTTCCACCTACTTCCAATTATGAAAGTTTCATTTCATTACCAATATATGAGAATTATCATCGGTATTTTAGCAAAAAGAACACTTGGAGACTTTTCTGTGGGGTGTTTTTTTGTGTGTTTTTTTTACAGTCGCCCAAAATGTGTGGATGAAGTTGCTTTCCAGGAAGAAGTGGTTGCAGTGCTGAAAAAGTCTTTAGAAGGAGCTGATGTGAGTAGTAACAGGTGATGTTTAATGTCATTGGGAGATTTAAGACTTAATTTATTCACCCTCTTCCTTCCTTTATGACCCCCCAACCCCTTTAAATACTATGCTGTGTATACAGTGGGCTCTAGATGACTATTTGTACAATGAATGATTAGTTCAACAAGTATTTGTTGAACATCTCCAATTCTATCCTATGGCATTGTTATGTAGTACTCATATATAGACCATTGAGCGAGACAGACTGTGGATCCCTTTACTCATGCACTTTTATTTTGATAATCTTAAAAATAAAGGAGCCTAGGAGTGTTTTTTTTGGGTTTTGTTTTTCAGTGAATCTCATAGTTTGTATCTTAAGCTACTTGTTACCAATGTAACAGTAATAGTCTTCTAATTGATATGGTTATCTATATGTTGATTTATTTGTTTTGCATATATTGAGTACTGCACAAGATGCTGAGAGTACAAATGTGAAAAGAAAAAAATGATTCTTGACCTTCTTATGCTTACTATCTGGTAAGGTAGACAGGTATTTTACAATTAAACCCAATAGTTAAATAAATAATAAATAATTGCTAATTGCATCCAGTGCAACAAAGACTGATGAGAGATTAACGGAGGAGACCCATTTTAGATTGGGTTGTCAGGGAAGGCTTCTGACTTGTAATGCAGTAGGAATTGGCCAGGCAGAATAAAGGAGTCAGACCCTAGCTTGTAGGGGACAGCATATGTGCAGGCCATAAAGTGTTTAGTTACTGGAGGTCATTGTAAATTGGAGTCTAGAAGGTAAGAGAAGCAGTGAGCAGATCATGGATGTCTTTGAAGGCTATGGTAAGCCAACTGATTTGTCTGCTTTTGTTTTCCTATGTGGAGTATGAAGCCACTGAATAGTTTTAAGTAGCAAGAAGATTGACTTTGATTTGGGTGAAGAATGAACGGATGGGAGAGGGTGGAATGTGGGGGTTAGGCAAGAGTGGAAGCAAATAAACTACTGCTTAGTTTCCTGTGTGCAGTTATTTCCCTACATGAAAGGACATACTGAAGAATGTACGGTTTTGTAAGAGAGCTCATTAGAATTTAGTACGTTTGTTAATCTGTACCACAGATCAGTTGCCTGCTTGTTGAGCTGCCAAGCTAGCTAGACATAATGTATAAAAGAAGAAAACAGTTATTTAATCTTACTCTTTCTTTCTCTTACAAATTCTCCCTGATATATGCAGGCATTCTACAGGGCACATGATCATGATGTGGAGTGCTACCTGGCATTTAATACATATTTAGCTCTTTTAATGTTTCTTTTCTTGCAACTTCAGCTCATTCAAAGCCCTACTATGTCTTTTCACTCCTTTTTCCTCATTATTGGCCAAAGCCAATTATTCCTTTGTTCTATTACCTCTTTGAAATAACTGACATCTTTTAAAATATAAAATCTTGCCCAATGCTGAGCAAAGGGGTGGGATAGAGACCTGACAGAAGCCTGGGATTCCCTTCAGAAATAAAAGGTTTCTAATTTCAGCTTTGAAAATTCCACCTAAGTAGATTAGGTATAGGGCAATCATAAATATGATTCAGCTTAAAATATTAGAAAGACATGCTGGGGAAAAAGTCATAGTATTATGTGGAAAAGTGGGATTTAGAAAGTGTGAATGCTATGATACCAGTTATATTAAGAAATCTGTTTATTAAGATACTTGTGCCCTCTCTATTGGGAAAATTATTGCACTGTTCCAGACATTTCCAGTCTTCATTTATTTGTGCCAGAGTACAATTTTTAAAAAATAAAATTTAACCTCTACAGCTCCCTAATCTCCTGTTTTACGGGCCACCTGGAACGGGAAAAACATCCACTATTTTGGCAGCAGCTAGGGAACTCTTTGGGTAAGTTGAAATAGCTCTCTTTTTTAGGCTTGACACTGAAAATCTCTAGTACTGCTTTTCTTTCTCTAAAAATTTGCCTTTGGTTTTTCTGTGAAATTGTTGGGTTTGTTTTTGTTTCTGAATTTTTTATTAATCCAGCGGGCCCATTTCCAGTTCCTCCTCTCCAGTAAATTAGCTTGTCTACATCTTTTGTAACCTTCATTCTGAACCTTATTCAAATGTTTGAATATATTACACACAGGGAACCTGGTGATTTTTTTAAATCCTTACCTGAGGATAAGTTTTTATTGATTTTTAGGGGGGGTGGGGGAGGTGGGGAAGGGAGAGAGAGAACATTGATTAAGAAACATTGATCCATTTTCTTGGTATGCACCTCCACCAGGGATTGAACCCACAACCTGGGTATGTGCCGTGAGTGGGAATCAAACCCACAACCTTTTGGTGCACGGGATGATGCTCTAACCAACTGAGCCACCAGGCCAGGACGTGATTTTTTTTTTTATTATGATTTGGGGCCCAGAAAACCCAACCTATCTCCAGTCACGTCAATAGTTTTATCACACTCCCTTAATGATTGTGTTCACGTCTGTGTTGTGTAATCAAATCTGTTGTGTATGATACTACTGACCCGCACCACCTCTTCTTGAGTTCCTTCTTGCTCTGGCTTTCCTAGGCCCTGCCTCTGGAGTGGCTAGGCCAGCTCCTTGCCCTTGGGCATCCTGAGTGTAAGCAGAGTGTGCAGTAGCTGATGCAGTATGGTTCCAGGTACAGCAGAAAATCTCTGAGCCACCTTCCAAGAATTCTCTTCCCAGATCCTGTCTTGGCTTAGCCAACATCGCCTAGGAGCCCTTTACCTATAAAAGATACCAGCCCAGGTCTGATACCCATGCAACATGCTCCAACATAGCAACGGTATCTTGAATTTATCCAGAATTTTTATATTAGGATATGACCAAAGGATACATCTGAAATCCTACATATGAAAATAATTAGATGCCTCTGCAACCACCAAATATGAGAAGACAAAAGTTGAAGCTGCTGTGAACCTAATATTGTATTTATTTGACAGGAACTTTTGTTTCTTAAGGAAATTGTAAGGTTTTTGATTATTCCACAACTCCTCAGTTAGAACCAGCCTTAGCAATGTAGTCATAATGAAATTATTAAGTAATTTATTATTAGTTATTCTAGAGTAGGTCAGTATAAATTATATAACTTTTAAAATATCCTTTTAAAAAGAATGCTTGTCCTTATAGAACTAAAAGAACTTACTTTAATTATAAATTTTAAATTTAATAGTATATGTGGTTTTAAAATAGAAAACATGCACAGTTTTATAAATGTTTATGCCCACAGAAAAAATACTTAGGATATTATGCCATTTAGTAAAAATAAAACAAATCTAAATCTAGGGGTTTTTTTAATTTAAAAATATGTATAAATATGTAGAAAAATGACTGGAAGGAAGCTTTCAAAATAGTGCTTTGGGTATGCCAGTTGTTTTAGTTATTTTTTAATTTCTCATATTTTTGCTACTTTTAATAATTTTCTTAAAGACTGACTTTGAAAAAAACTATTCATGTTCTAATCTAGTAATTTTCCTTATAACAAGCTACCCTATGGGGATAATTCAAAATATACTATATTGCAGCATTATTTAAAATTGTAACATACTTAAAACTATCTAAATGTCTAACAATAGAAGGATGCTAAATAAATTAAGTAAATGATGGTACATTGGTAGGATGGAATGTCACATAGTTATTAAAATGGTATTTCTGGAGGTTCTGATGACATGGCAAGATGGTTATGACACGGTACTAAGTAGAAAATTGATTTTAAAATTTTATGCATTATGTGAAATCCATTTACCTATTTTTTTAAAAAAAGCATGGCAGAAAGCCAGAATGTTAACTGCATGTCTCTGCAAAAGAGAAAATACAGAAGCGATTGTGTACCTTCTATTGTTTAGTAGGTGGATTTTAAACTACCGCAGAATGTGCAGATGTTAAAATGTGGTTAATCCTGTTACTTACATGCTCTATGATGTTTCATATTTGCTTCATTTTGACATAGGCATGAACTTTTTCGATTAAGAGTTCTTGAGTTAAATGCATCTGATGAACGTGGAATACAAGTAGTTAGAGAGAAAGTGAAGAATTTTGCTCAATTAACTGTATCAGGAAGTCGTTCAGAGTAAGTAAGCTTATTCCCTTCTCCATACCATGTCATTGTATATGTTTAAAATACAGACTTCTGCCAGATTTACAACTCCTTTTTCATGTTAGATCATATTTTTATCTAAATTATTTAAAGCGAGAAATGACCTTTCCATTATAACTAATTTTGTTTAGCTGTCAAGGGTTTTCCATTGATATTTTGTCTGAAGAGTATTTATTAATCAAATGTGATAGTGTGGTGGTATATATGTAACAAAAATCCTAACTCTTGCTATTGTGTTATTAAAAAAAAATCAGCTATCTTAAGCTTCAGTGTATATTTCAGTTAGGGTGATCAGATAAGTTCTTGTCTAAACTGGGATGCTTTTAGAGTGAAAGGTGGTATTATTAATAATTAAATAGGACTGCCCTGAGTTAAACCAGGATGTTTAGTCAACTGCTAATACTCCTTAGGAGGCAAAGTTTCAAGATTAAATTTTTGGTATCTGGTATGTATTTGAATTTATATCAGAGCACACATTAAGAATTTGTAGAAAGTGTATGACTAATTTTTTATATCTACCTTGAACTGACAATGTATATAAATCATATATCTGATAAGGCACTTAAATCAGGAATATATAAAGATCTCTTACAACTCAATAATAAAAAGACAACCCAGTTTTAAAATGGGCAAAGAATAGACATTACTCCAGAGAAGATCCACATGTAAACATACTTATCAACATCATTAGCCATTGGAGAAATGCCATGCAAAACCATGATGAGATGCCACTTTACACTCACTAGGATGGCTATAATAAAAAATACAGAATATAGTAAGTATTTGCAAGGATGTGGAGAAATTGGAACCCTTATACCTTGCTGATTGTAATGTAAAATGATGCAGCCACTTTGAAAAGTTTGGCTAAGAAGTTAAACATAGAGTTGCCACATGACCCAGTAATTCTAGCCCTAAGTATACCCACAAGAAATGAAAACATGTCTATTCAAAACATGTACACAAATGTTCATAACATTATTCATAATGGTCAAAACATGGGAACAACCCAAATATCCATCAACAAATGAATGGACAAATAAAATGCAGTATATCTATTTGCCATATTATTGGGGATTAAAAAGGAATGAAGTACAGGGATGAACCTTGAAAATACTATGCTAAGTGAAAGAAGTCAATCACAAAAGACAATGTGTTAGATGGATGTCATATGATTCCATTTATATGACTGTCCAGAATAGACAAATCTGGAGGCAGAAAGTAGAGATGATGACTGCCTCTGGCTCAGAGAGTTGGAAGAGAAGAGGAGATTCCTAATGAGCATGGGGTTTCTTCTTGGGATGATGAGTATGTTCTAAAATTAGATTGTGGTGATATGTAAATTAGCACTTCTATGTGTTTTTCTGAATCAGTGGGAAGCCATGTCCTCCTTTTAAAATTGTGATTCTGGATGAAGCAGATTCTATGACCTCAGCTGCTCAGGCAGCTTTAAGACGTACCATGGAAAAAGAGTCTAAAACCACCCGATTCTGTCTCATCTGTAACTATGTCAGTCGGTATGTATATTGCCCTAAAGATAGATGCTGTGCAGCCTTATTTTGATAACCTCCAGTTAGGGAGAGAAAAAAAATATTTCAAGGCTACATTAATATCAACTCCATCAAATCTTGATAAAAAATGAGTTCTTTGGGAGAAATCCTTTAGACACTGACTTGTTTTTTCCAATATTTTACAGAATAATTGAACCTCTGACCTCTAGATGTTCTAAATTCCGCTTCAAACCTCTGTCAGATAAAATTCAACAGCAGCGATTACTAGACATTGCTGATAAAGAACATGTCAAAATTAGCAATGAGGTAATTACTAATTATTATTATTAGTTATTTGATTACTAATTCCTTTGATGAATGCATATGAAGAGGCCCCGAAAGGAGTCCTATGTGTGTTGCTTCAATTTCTGATGCCAATTCTTCAGGCAGTTAAGCTAAATGAACAACAATTGAAATGTCTAGGAATTACAACTTCAATTTTTCTCTTACTATTAGAAGTTTATTATCAGTATTTTAGTGACCCAAAACTGGGGCAGATTTCATACATATAATGCAAATTCTGCAACAACAGATCTCTGTATAATGACAAGATTCTAGTCTCCTAGCTAATAACTCCACTTCAAAAACTGATTTGGGCCCTGTCAGCGTGGCTCAGCAGTTGAGCATCGACCTATGATCCAGGAAATCGAGGTTCGATTCTTGGTCAGGGCGTATGCCTGGGTTGCATGTCAACTCCCAGCAGGAGGCATGCAGGAGGCAGCTGATCAATGACTCTCTCATCATTGATGTTTTCTATCTCATTCTCTGCCTTCTACTCTCTGAAGTCAATAAAGATATATTAAAAAAATAAAAATAAACAGATTTGGTATGATAAAATTCTGGTAGTGATGGAATATAAAGGTCTCTTATTCATTATAACAGAATTTAACCATAATTTCAATTTTCTTTGGTTTAATCAAGGAAGTAGGGTAAGTATAGAACATCTCTGCAAATTTCTTTCAAAGGAAAGAGATCTGTATCCTCCCATTGGACTGAGGCTGTCTACATGAATTCTGCCACTATAGGACTGATAATATTCCCTCAAAAATGGAGAGATTTTATTTCCCCCCACTAACTCTAGGCTAAAATGTAGTGCTTTTCACTTTATTAAAATCAAAAAGCCTTAATTGGTCATCATAGATTAAAAAACGCACACTCATACACATACAAAACCTTTTTCTTTTCAGGGACTGTCTTGTCTTGTTAAAGTATCAGAAGGAGACTTAAGAAAGGCCATTACATTTCTTCAAAGTGCTACTCGATTAACAGGTGGGAAGGAGGTCACAGAGAAGGTGATCACAGACATTGCTGGGGTAAGAGCACTAGTTACTCTGAAATTCTTTTAGATTACATGGCTTTTCGAAAATTTTCATCCAAGTATATACAGAAAGCTTCTTATGTGCTTAGTCCATTCAGGTTGCTATAACAAAATACCATAGGTTGAGTGGCTTACAAACAGCAAATTCATTTACTAGTTCTGGAGGCTGGGAAGTCCAAGGTCAGGGTGCCCACAGATTCAGTTCTAGTTCATGAGTTGATCGATGGCCTATATCTTCTGTGGCAGAAGAGCGCTCTCTGGGCTGTTTTATGACACTAATCCCATTCATGAGGGTTCCACCCCCATGACCGAATTGCCCCCCAAAGGCCCACGTCCAGATGCCATCACTTTAGATATTTTAACAAAAATTGGGGGAGGGGGTTACATTTAGTCTAGAGCATGTGCCAAGTACTGAGCTAGGAACAGTATACTTAGTATCAGAATGTTTCAGGAATGTGGCAGTTAGGCTTGATACCCCTTTTCTTACAAATGGAATCTATTCTGATAAAGGGTCATTAGGCACATGCATATTCAACCTAGAGAAATCTTTTATTATAGAAAATGGAAGGGCCACACGTATCTTTGAATACTCCTCTCAGGCCATATTGCATTTTCATACCATAATGAAACAGGATTAGTCCCCTTTTTCTGAGTATTAAGAGATTTTTTTAAATCAGTCTCTTCAGTGGCATCTTGACTTAGGAAAAAAGGTACTTTCCCTTAAAATTACTTTGATTTTAACCACTGCTCTGAAGAATGATAGCCTCTAGGATATTGGCCAGTTAAAGCCAGTGGGCCCAAACTTCAGAATGTTTAGAAGCAAAAGAAATTTTGTGTACTTCACAAGAGCCATTCAAGGATTTTAAAAGTAAAAAATGCATCACCTTTATTGCATAATAGTGACTGGATTCATGTACTGGCAGAGCTATCTGGAGAGGATTATTTCAAGTCCAGTAGCTTTCTGGATCACCTCAGGAGCCCAGAATTCGGCTTAAGGCTTAGAGATGGCCCTTTTCTAGTTCCTTGCATTCTCAACTCTGGATTCACAGTACCAGGATAGCAGATTATGTCCTATGTAAGGAAATGTCTTTTTACACAGTGGACCAACCAAGCATGGAACAGAAGGGAGTGGGCCTGGGCTTGGCAGAGTAACGTACAAAATGCTTTTACAAAAATATCCTCTTAGGTAATACCAGCCAAGACAATTGATGGAGTATTTGCTGCATGTCAGAGTGGCTCTTTTGACAAACTAGAAGCTGTGGTAAAGGTAAAGTTCAAGTTACTTTACTACTTTGGGGAAGAGAAAATTAAATGCTGACACCATTTCATTTTGTTACAGGACTTAATAAATGAGGGTCATGCAGCAACTCAGCTTGTAAATCAACTTCATGATGTTGTTGTAGAAAATGATGACCTTTCTGATAAACAGAAGTCCATTATTACAGAAAAACTTGCTGTAAGTAGGCACTGTTGTACATTTCAGCAAAATATACCTGAAAAGAGAAATTTACTAAACACCTTTTCTTTATTTTGTAGGAAGTAGATAAATGCTTAGCAGATGGTGCTGATGAACATCTACAATTGATTAGCCTCTGTGCTATTGTGATGCAGCAGTTAACCCAGAATTGTTAAAACTATATTCAGTTCATATCGGGGCTTTTAATAAAAAAAATAACCAAAGCACCTTTAAAGTGAATATACAATTTATTTAACATTCAAACTTCATTAAGACATGTGCAATATGGCAATTTTACTGGGGGTTTAACCCTACCTAGGATATGATTGCTTGCTGGGGCTTAGCAACAGGGTCCAGTTCACACTTAGCACTAATTAAATACTTTATTGAATAAATACAATACCAAACAAAATGCATTCAAATGCTTTCTAAAAAAATAAAAATTAAAAAAAAAAAAAAATCAATTTTAAAGGCCTTCTATTCAGGCTAATGACAAACACAATAAAGGCAGATAAGCTAGTTTAACATAATTGGCTGATTTTATACAGCACTTATATCTTTTAGTCCACAAGTATATTATTAAATGATAGAGAACATCTAATACAACCATTTCTACAGAACTAGGAAATAAATTTCTAAGAAAGAAAGATTTTACAGACCCCATCTTTTATACCCAACCCCAACAGTCTAACTCTAAAGAGGATAAAGCCAATGACTTTCCTCACAAGAGCTCACGACTAAAGTCGCTTTGCTATCAAAATCTGTATTTCTGATCCGTTATGAGCATTGAGACAAGATTCAAATATTCCCAAAGAAAGAAGCACAATGCACGTTGTGATCGCCTATTCAGCAACAGCGAGCACTGCATTCAAAACTATCTCATCCCAGGAATTAAATAAGGTCAGCCACATTCATTGGCATTTCCTCCACTGTAGTATTGTAGAAAGTCTCAATGTCCCGAAGAATCCTCTTGTCTTCTTCAGTAACAAAGTTTATAGCCACACCTTTCCTCCCAAATCGACCCCCTCTGCCAATTCTGTGTAAGAAAAGAAACCAGCAATTAGAATGTTACTTCTAACAGAATGCATGAACTACTGAACATGATGATCCACTTGTTAACCATCAGCTGCTGTTTACTTATCAAGGTTATAGTTCGTGCTTCTAATTGGAGCACTATCTGCTAATCAATATCTAGAGAAAAAAAATCTTCCTTTGCAGTTAGTGCCAAAAGGATTCAAAGCTTGTCTTGTCTGGCTGCAAAATGAGATTTTATCAGGTGTCTTGAGCATTATTATTTTTAAAGCAGATGACAGTATTGTGTTTGGGGTAGTGAAATTAAAAAGCCCATACCAAAGTGGGCCAGCCAAGAGCAGAAGTCAGCCTGGGACAGATGTAAACACACCAGGGATAAAACAAAAAAGAACAGTTATGTAATCCATATCCGCGAACTTCTGGAACTGTAAACTGTAAATACAAATGCTGCAAGGTTAACTATTGCCTAAACTTACAACTTTTTCCAGTGGGAAAACAAGTATTTGGTATGGTAACCCAAACTCATCACTGCTTTTTTGCTCAGTTTCACACGTTGTAACTCAAATTACTCAAACGTGTTTACCTCCAGAACAACTTTCTACCTTCCTGATAGAAACCAGACAATACAAACCACCTAATAGGCTAATATACAAAAATGCCTTGGCTGGAACAACTTAAAAATATCAAATAATCATGACAAAAGAAAAACAAATATAAATACCGACTCGCTCTTTATTCAAACAGTGTGCTGTTTCGCTTATGATTCCACGTCCTAAATTACGTCAACGCCGTTTCTGAGTGCCATCTCGTCATCAACTGCTGCTATCGACTCCTGTATTTTTTAAAAAGTCTTTTTTTACATCATATAACAAAGTACAATTCAATTTATTTAGGGATAAAGCCACTATAACTAAACCAGGGACTGCTCAAATTGCTACCAGACGACACCAAGAAAAATCCCAACTATAGAGTAATCACCAAGAAAGCACATGGACACACAAGAGCATCACTAAAAATAAAGCTCAAAAATAAGCTAAGACCAACAGATCTAAAACAATCTAATCCATATGTATGAAAGCCCACAATTTGGGCAACATTTACAACTGTTTTCCCACTGTGCATGACCAGTCTTCCCAAGTACAATTTTTAATTTCATCTTACCAAGTTACTGTGTCTATAGGCTGAGCCAATTCCCTGATTTGAGGTTACCTTTCACACAAATCGGTCAGAAGGAAAGCAATACATGAACTCATTTTACCAAAACAGTAATAGTCAAGGTGCCATCTACTCACCTGTGAATATAGTTTTCACGATTGGTAGGTAGATCATAGTTTATAACCAATGAAACTTGTTGCACATCAATCCCACGAGCCTGAAACATAATGTATGATGTTCAAATTCTAATTGATAAATTAGACACCTATGTAATGTAGGCCACAGAATAGTAGTGAACTATAATGTTTAGTGATATAGCCCACTGTGGAGTGTGGTCTTCTTTACTCTCCCAAATAGCCCAAGCTGGTAAAGGTTATTAAAAAACCTTCCCCCAAAAATACCTTTTGGTAGATTAAAATGAATAGTAAGACTTACTTACCAACAAGTCAGTAGTGATCAGAACACGGCTTGACCCTGATCGGAATTCCCTCATGATAACATCTCTTTCCTTCTGGTCCATGTCACCATGCTGCAATTTAAAAAACCTTCATTCAAGAATCACCAGTCAAATCAATTATCTAATTTTAACAACATGTATGAGACCAAGCGTCCCTGGCTGCTACAGGAGTCTAGCAGACAGGTATAGTTAAGAAACAACTTTATTTTGAGCAGGGGGAACGACAACACAGCACTTAGCAGCTATATTGTAGTCTGAATCCTGCTTTAATGAAAAGACATTGTAATTACCATTACTAAAGCAGAACACCTCTTACCAGAGCAGAAACTGTGAAGTCCCTGGCATGCATTTTCTCAGTGAGCCAGTCCACCTTGCGCCTTGTATTGAGAAAAATAACAGCCTGTGTAATCGTCAATGTCTCATACAAGTCACAAAGTGTATCCAACTTCCATTCCTACAGTATTTCAAAGAAAGAAGTCATTAAAACAATTTTGTTTTCAACTTACAATCAGTAGAAAGTCACTGTTAGGCTAGGCTGTTCGAACACATGTTGCACCAAATTTTAAGACAAAGGACATTGGACATTAAGAAAGAGGTCCACCCCAGTCTTTATCATCTAGTGCTGTTACTGTTCTTCTTGTGTGTACTCTGCTAGCATTATTACAAAAACCAAGATGTGATCCTAGCTTCTGCAATTTTAGCACAGTGCTTATACAAGAAGGTAAAAAACCTGGCTACATTTTTTATGTGTAATAAATTAGACAAATTACCTCTCTTTCAACGTTAATATAAAACTGTTTGATTCCTTCAAGGGTCAATTCTTCCTTTTTCACCAGAATTCGAATTGGATCTCTCATGAATTTTTTAGTCACTTCCAACACATCAGTTGGCATCGTGGCAGAAAGCAACACAACCTTAAAAAAAAGACAGTGATGTTGTCACACAAGTAGTTAGCAGAACTTCTACAGTACTCAAAAAAACCATGTTTGAGACCAAGCGTCTCTGTCTAGCTATGGAATTGTGCTAGACAGAGATAGTTATGCATCAATTGCTTTAAGCAGGGGGAACGACAATAAAACACTTCAGTTGTATTGTAACAGTTCCTGCATTAAACCTAACCTCCAGCTATGGCGGAGGAGGTGAAATAAAGCTCACCTGAATACTTGTATTTAATTTTTGGAAAATCTCATAGATTTGATCCTTAAATCCCCGGCTCAACATTTCATCTGCTTCATCCAAAACAAACATTTTGATCCATTTTGGAGCTGTTAAAAAGAAAAATCATACTATCATCTCTAGAGATAATATAGATTCTCAGAGATACTATTATAGTTAAAAAAAAAAAAAAAAAAAACACACACAATTGACAGCAATACTTACAAAGATATCTTCTGTTTAACATATCAAACACTCTCCCTGGTGTACCAACAACAATATGTGGTGCTTCAGCCTGCAGTTTTTGCATTTCATTGCGAACATTGGTTCCACCAATGCAGGCATGACAAGTTGCTCCCATGTAGTCTCCAAGTGCCAGAATTACCTTTTGGATCTAAAAGGCAAAAGCCTCAATTACCCAACAGAATTACAGACTGTGACTAAACTTGCAAAGCATAATGGCAAATATCTGGTCTACAAACAGCTTTTATGCATGCATAGCACTTAACTACTTCCAAGCTCAGAATGCAGACTGATCTGCTTCAAGATAAAATTCCCTTGAAATGTCCTCTTGTGCCTTGTCACACTTGGGATCCTACTGCCCCAGGTACCAGCTAGATTAATTAAGAACTAAAAACATGTCCTTTATATTCTTCGTTGTGTAGAGAGATGTAAGTACTGGATCAAGCTCGGCAAATATAGCTAAGACAAATTGTTGATACTTTAATTTTTCCCACAGGGCAGTGACATATATAATCTTGACCTCAATAAAGCCTATAGTTTTATTAGCAATGTACACTTCAAAGCCTACATTAGCAGTGAGTCTTTAAAACATATCATGCAAAAGATGATGCATCACAAACTAGTAACATGTCACTGCAGTTTTCATGTTGCACAACTGCATTCAAACTTAAAATGAGAACAGACCTAGTCCACCCTGAATAGAAAGCTTTAGTTTCTCCATCTATTATATAACCCTGCAAACACTATTTGCACACCCAGTTCCTATTTAATTCTTAATAAAAACTCCCTGCATGCATGGACAGTTAAAAGGAGGGCTCTGATAGGACCAATTTACACTAAGTTTTAAATTCTTCAGTTGTGAAACCTGAAACCTATGCAACACGCAAGCAGTTTTTTGAACTACACTATCAATACCTGTTGTGCCAGTTCTCTGGTGGGGGCCAATACTAGTGCTTGGGTCTCCTTGAACTCAATCTCCAACTGTTGCAGGATGGAAATAGCAAATGTGGCTGTCTTGCCAGTACCTGACTGAGCTTGAGCAATCACATCATACCCTAAAAAAAGTAGGATACATATTTACCGATCCCACATCAAACCGTCACTTCTAGTTTACACTATGTATTCCATTTGGAACATGAATTACGCCCAAATAATCAAGTGATCAGCATGAGTATTCTCTTCATT